TAGGGTTATGCTAGCCATAACTATGTTTCATGATTATGAAATTTGGAAGATGGATGTTAAAACCGCTTTCCTTAATGGAAAGTTGGCTGAGGATGTTTACATGAGTACCCGAATAGAGTGTGTAAGCTTGAGAAATCAATCTATGGATTGAAACAAGCTTCTCGCGGATGGAATCTTTTCTTTGATGAAAAAGTCAAAGAGTTTTGCTTCTCTAGAAGTGTAGATGAATCTTGTGTATATGTCAAAGCTAGTGGGAGTATAGTCACCTTCCTAGTATTGTATGTTGATGACATACTACTTATAGGAAACGACATTCCAACCTTGCATGAGGTTAAATCCTGGCTTGGAAAGTGTTTCGCTATGAAGGATTTGGGAGAGACTGCTTATATTTTGGGAATAAGGATTTTGAGGAATAGGAGTAGAAGACTAATTGGAATTAGTCAAAGTACATATTTGGATAAAGTGTTGAAGCATTTTAGCATGGAGAATTCCAAGAAAGGAGAATTGCCTATCCAGAGCAATACCAAACTGAGTAAGACTTAGAGTCCGAGTACTGATGCAGAGTTAGCAGAAATGAGTCGAGTTCTATATGCTTCTAGCGTTGGATCGATCATGTATGTTATGACATGTACTCGCCCTGACGTGGCTTTTTCTTTGAGCATGGTTAGTCGATATCAGGTAAATCTAGGTAAAGCTCATTGGATAGTGGCCAAGAACATTCTTAAGTATCTACGAAGAACTAACGACTGGGTCCTTGTGCTTGGTGGCAGTGATGACTTAAGAGTTACTGGGTATAGTGACGCCAACTTTCAAACAGACGGAGACAACGTCCGTTCACAATCTGGCTGGGTGTTTACCCTTAATGGAGGAGCGGTGACTTGGAAAAGTTCCAAGCAGGAAATGGTGGCTGATTCTACATGTGAATCAGAGTACATTGCAGCAAGCGAAGCATCGAAGGAGGCTATATGGTTGAAGAACTTCATCGGAGACCTTGGAGTTGTGCCAGCCATAAAGGAGCCAATGGAGATTTTCTGTGATAATGAAGGAGCGGTTGCCTTAACAAAGGAACCAAGAGATCATGGCAGATCTAGACATTATGACAGAAAATATCACTTCATCAGACATCGAATAGAAGAAGGACACCTCGTCGTAAATAGGCTATCATCTGAAGAGAATCCTGTTGATCCCCTCACAAAGGGTCTTAGTAGGGTTAAGCGCGTTCAGCATGCGAGGAGCATTGGTCTGAAGGATGATATTAGTTTTGTCAATTATTTATCATTGTGTTTCACTTTTTCATGTTTTACTTCCCAAATAATTACATTATTCAAATATACACAGTCAGTCATACTTTGGAAGTAAGTAATGAATTAAGACTATCACGAATTGGGTTGTAGATTGTCTAATTGTTTAGACAATAGCAATGGTTTGTTGCAACATTCATGAGTATTTTTGAATTGGAGAATTTGAGTATTGGATTTAACCCACGCTAAGTGAATTACTTCATGGAATTTGTCACGAGTAATTCTGAGACGATAATATCGTATAATCTTTAAACGGAGATATATGAGTTGTTGTTTACGAGTTGGTTGTGCAATGATAATGCGTAAACGCATCAGTAACTTGATGTTATAAAACGTATTGTTGTGCATGATTTGATGAGTAAATAGTACAAGCATATAAGTCGAAGTTTATCTGTTCCTTTTGCCGTAACGGGAAAAAGGGATGTCTTGGGCCCCTCGATGATTTGGTGTTGACTTATGTGTCAGGCCCAGTCAGGACTTAATTGATGTGTTCAATTGTACTTCTTTGTCATTACAAATCAAAAATCGGGAAACAAACTGTTGGACAATGAGAATGATTCTGTTCCATGTCATTTGTCCACATGATGTCTTGCAGAACGGAGGATTATATGATCACTTATCTTAGGACACGTTACTGACTGGGTCAGAGTTCGGCAACGGCTTTGAGAGCTACAATTTGCCAGTCAATTTTTAAAGTTATACTTGCAATTATAGTTATTAGACTTATCCAAGTGGGAGACTATTGGATTAGATGTATAAGACCATAACTATAATTGGTATGTACATGAATTGATAGTAGCACAGTTCTTTTGGGTTGTCTTCATACTAGCAACTAGACATAATGATTTATTGAGAGAGAGGAAGAATTTATTATTTGGAATAATAAATTAATATAGCAAAATGATTTATTAATGTATTATGCAAATACTATATTAATTAGAATTCATGTTATTTAATTAATATTTAATCAGAAATTAATTTGGAATTAATTTTGGATTAAAGGAATCAATTAAAAGTACAGGGGCTATTTAGCAATTATTTAATAGTTGTGGTTTTGGGCTCTTGGACCGTCTTAGAGCGGATGGACGAAAACTTCTAAGGAGGCCCTAGAATTTTCGTCCATGGCCTAAGGGATGGGGAGTCCATGGGCTGCTTAGGCCTTAAGTTGGAAATTAGGGTTTTCTCCAGCAAACCCCAGCTTTGGCTCTAAGCAACTAACAACTATATAAAGAGCCTCTACCTATTGATTTCGGCCAATGCTTCGAAACCCTAAGAAGAGCCGAATTCTAGAGCTTCCTCCTCCTCTATCCTCTCATCCTCTTTCTTGGTGTGTTTGTGAGCCATTAGAGGTATTACACTTGTGCTAATTGCTCTCAAAGTTCAAGATCTTCAAAGATTTTATTGTTATTACAATATAACAATCAAGGTATGTATCCTAACACTAGTTATTGTTAATTTTGAAATTTATACATGCCTCCTAGGGTTTCTAGTTTTGTGTTCAATGCTTGTATGTATAATAGAGAAAACATAGATCCAATAAATTAGGGTTGCAAGCACACATAGGATTGTTTGATATGTTCAAAAACCATTAAGAATATCGTAGTACTCGTGATCCAAAGAAGTGAACATCAAATCCACATCTTTTATCGCCATTAACGCTCTATGCACCACAATCCAATTTGCAGACTAAATAAAACAATCTAGCACTCAAATTGACGATAATCGGCTAATGAGTGATTACAGAATAAAAATTTCAGTTTTCTATTATGGATTTTTGGTAGAACAAACCTTGCATCGTTCATCTCTCGTCTTGGGGGGGGGGGGGGGAGATCCTTCCAGAGCAGTTTTGAGGGATTGTACCTAATCGGTCAAGATCAATCGCCTATTAGTGCTTTGATAAATTGGGGAAAGTTGAAATTTGTCATGAAAATTAGGGTTGTAGTGCACTAACTTTTTGAGTAAACTCTCGATCTTGCGATACTTGTTTTCGATCCTCGTGATGATGGCTTCTGTGTTTTCTGCTTCCACATGCTCTCACAGAAACGCGAAATCAAAAATAGAAATGCAAAGAGAATGCCTTGGAGCATGATTTTATCAAACTCGAGAATTGAACTTTGGCAATGGCATTACCAGTGATGGAAGTGGCAAATCGATTTCTACAACACAACACCGGTGGAGCAACCCTAACCGACGTTTGCTCTTTCGTTTTTGTTTTCGTGGTGTAGTTGATTTTGACCGAATAGAGCATCGATACAACACAATGGATTTGAGTACGGGCATGGAAAATAAATTTACTTAATTAAAATACTCCTGTTTTTTTTTTTCAAACTTAAAATGCTACATAAATTTACGATGAATTTTGTCCATCGTAAATCATTTATATTTTATGAAATATGACATAATTTGTATTGTAGACTTTTATGTCCGTCATAAAACTGGTATGCGTCGTAATTTGTCTGTCATTGAAAATGCTAGTGATTGTTGGTTTCGATTCTACAACATCAATTTACTGACCACAATATGACGTCTTTATCTACTCATCCAACCAATTTCACTTTGATACTTGCCATGGTTTTATCCATCACAAAACCTAACTGCAACCCTATTACCCAAATTTAGTCCTTTTTCCAAAATTGTAACCAAATACCCAATCGAGCCGAAACCTGTAACCAAAGCATCCTAACTGGAAAAGAAAATGCAACCAACTGATTTAAATGTGGACAAATAAGGATGAAATCGTGTTGGCCAAATTGTGGATTGACTTATCGGAGCATGTGACGGCCGGTAATTCATAAAAGTCTCAATTTTTTTAGAGACGAACGACAAATCAGTTTCATCGGGAAAATGGGTCATTGCGAGTACCACATAAAAGAACAAGTTAAAACATAGTATCAAGATGTGAATAAGGTGGTGATGAAGTTCAAGCTTGTACAGTAACCTAAAAAGGACAATGCAAAAGTGGTCAAAGCAACAAAAACATTTTCGCGGCAACGCTACTAATACATTGAGATGAAAAAAAAAAAAGGGAAGACGCTTAAATATTGACTTTTGGAAGCTTGTAATACTTGCCCGAAAATGGATTAAAGTGCATAGAAACCGGTGGCTAAAAAGAACAAAAACATCCGATTAAAATTACACAACTTCGTCGGATTTTCGTGCTGGAGTTTGAATTTTGACGTGCGTGAAGTTTGAAAATGAAAAAAATGGCTAAAAAGAAAAAATAACACAGAAGAAAATGACGACTCATATCTATGAAATTCTTGATACAAAACATCAACTTTCTTTCAGCGAAGAACGTGATATGACTTTAAAGGTCAATATATAATTTAGTTTGAATTAATGAAAAGTTTGTTAATTTTAAATTTATTTAACTTTTTTATATATTTTTGTAGAAAACAAGAAAAAAAAAGGTAGATAGAAGGTGACTATTCTAGATGATAAGGTGAAAATAACATGATGCTAAGTTGGTAGATTAAAAATATGGAAAATGTGGTGAGTTAGCACTTTATTCAATACACTGTATATAGTACACGAGACCTATATAATGTCATATGTAGCGACCAAACTATAAATGAAGGCCGTGGGTAAGTAAATTTATGAAGGGTATTTATGAAAATTTAAACAACTTGAAGGGCAAAGTTAAACTGATTAGACTATATATACATACACTACCACCCTCCTCCTTCCACCACCACAAACATGTCTGTAGTCACCGACGAAATAAGAGCAACCGCCACCGAGCTCTACCATGGCGACAAAGTCTGCCAAGATAAAACAAAGCTTTTACTAACCGAAGTCGGACTACCCAACGGCCTTCTGCCATTGGAAGACATTGAAGAATGTGGGTACGTTAAAGACACAGGCTTCGTGTGGCTGAAACAGAAAAAGAAAAAAGAGCACAAATTCGAAAAAGTCAACCGGCTGGCGAGCTACGCCAATGAGGTCACGGCGTTCGTCGAGAAATCAAAGATCAAGAAGCTCACCGGAGTGAAGACTAAAGAGTTGATGATGTGGGTTAATCTGAGTGAGATCTTTGTTGATGATCCACCCACCGGAAAAATCACGTTCAAAGCTCCGTCAGGGTTGTACCGGACTTTTCCTGTGTCGGCATTTCAAATCGAGGAGGACCAGAAACTTGAAGTGAAGGAGGTGTAGTGGGGCTGATGAGTCAATGTCTCATTTCATCTTTGATTGATATATTGTGATCTACTCATCTACTCATCTTTATCTCGATGTTATCTTAACGTTTACTTAATATTTGGGGCATTTGTTATCGAATTTTCAAGTAATAAAAATAATCGTTTTCAACGATATTAAGAAAATATTAGGGTAAAGCTTCATAAACGGTTTCAACGATATTAAAAATATTAGGGCAAAACTTGAAGCTTATGGACAAAAAAATTGCCATATGGCTTAGGATCACATAAATATTCATTTTACTAAATAACATCTTTCGTTTTAACCAGGATTTGAAATCTCAATTTCTCTATCTTAAAGAACACTTTTTTTAAACCAAACAATTTGGTATCTTAGGGTTAACAACATACAATAACGTCATAGCTTAGGTATAATTTATTTTGGGTTAATATTGTCAACCAATAATAATCTATGTTATTTATTTTTAATCGTAGTCAATGTATCATTAAACTTATTAATAGGGTAATATATTTATCATTTTGTACACATTTAGTCTTTAATATTTTTATACACATTTAGTCCTTAATATTTTTTTTGTTTCAAAATAAATTATTTTTATTTTTGTACTCATTCAGTACTTATGAATGATTTCTTTAGGTTTTTTCTCACGACATCTTACGTGGGACAATAATCTTACTGAAATGCCAACATGCATCAGGTCCAATCAGTCATCGGACTGGAATACCCAGGGTTTATTGGCATACCGCCTTAACCCAACCGCTCTTCTCGAGCCTCCGTGCCTACAACTTCCAGCCCGCCCGCACCAGGTATCTTGGCCTACATCATATAGTAGGACCACCTCAACATATCCCACCACCATATGGTTATCCCACGTAAGATGCCGTGAAAAAAACCTAATGAAATCATTCATAAGTACTACAAAAACAAAATTGACTTATTTTGCAATAAAAAAATATTAAGGACTAAATGTGTACAAAAATATTAAGGACTAAATGTGCACAAAGTGAGAAATATATTACCCTATTAAGTCATTTTTACCAGCTAACCTGGAGTAGTCGATCATAAGGACTAAATGTGTACAATTTAACAAGTTGAAGGGGTAAATATGGACGGAAAAAAAATCAGTGAGTAAATAGATAAAAATCAAAAAATATATTACTCTTTTAAGTCATTATCCGTTTTGGTTACGTTAAGATTAATTGAAAAGACTTATTCTTATAAAATATGTTGTTATTGCTATATACTAATGCAAGTACATTCTTATATGATATTATTGAAAAGAATTAGAATAAATAAATTTCAGAATTTGTCTCTATGATTTGAAAAATAGATGATATTGAGGACACTATAAAAAAAACGCTAAACAATTATCCTTATGGTTTAAATATCTTGTGAAATTATATATAACATAAAAGTTTAAATTGGGGAACAGTATACTTCTTTCTCTTTCCTATTTTGCCACAAAACTTTTTTTTTTTTCTATTTCACCCTCAATAACAATTCCGTCTTCCCATTCTTTCCGTTTTCCTTACTTCCTCTTTCTTTCTTCTTTACTCTTCCTCATTCTTCTACGACTTGCTTGACCCACTGCGGTGAGAGAGTCACGGACGTCAACATATGGAGAAGAAAGCCGCAAACCACTGTCACCGCATCCACCGGCGCCGCCCGATCTGGATTTATATCTCACCAGACGCGGCGACATCTGCTCCTCGATCCCGACCGTGCTTCTCTATCTCGATTTCAATCTCTATCAGTTTCCATCTTTATACTTTGCAATTTCCTAAATTTTGACTTCGATTTTGAAGGTAAACGGGAATGAAAAAAGGGGAGGCCGGCGACAGATGCACCACCGGAGAAGCCAGCGCCATAGCCGGAGTCTAACGGAAAAAAGGTGTACGTTAAACCATTTTTCTATTTCTGATTTCCGCCTTCAGATTGGCTACGCCATCGATTGAATCTTTTCATTTTCGATTTTCAGATAGATGGAGGTCGGTGGCAAAATTGATTTTCTTTTTTCACTTCCGGTTCTAGGTATTACGTTTTTTGTCCAACACACTTCTACACTTCTGTGAAATTGATGAAACGACGGAATAGGTGCGGGTTACCCATGTTTTCTTTTTGCTTGATGCTCGCGCAGTTCGCATAGACTGCAATAGACGGTAACAGATTTTTCTTATGCTCATTAGTTTATACCCCTATCTTATTCTGTGTTTTTGCCAAAATAATTTACGTGTTTATATACCCTGTTATTGTTCATACCAACACAAAGATTGGTAAATTACTTTTCTACCCTACTGCTAGAGATGAAAGACGATCTGAGACTATTTTTTTTGCTTTTTATGCTCAATTGCTTATACCCCTATCTTATTCCGTGTTTTCCCAAAATAATTTATGTGTTTATATACCCTGTTATTGTTCATACCAACACAAAGATTGGTAAATTACTATTCTACCCTACTGCTAGAGATGAAAGATGATATGAGGCTATTTTTTTGCTTTATTCAGGTCCGTCTGATGCCCCTCCTGTTGCAGACAACTTTCTGAAGGTACTAGATTTATAATGACATCCTTTTCCTATTTCCACTTAATTATATTCAATAAATTTATTACACTGTTGAAGGACTTCAAAAAAAGGCTTCAACTGGATACAAAGAAGATTGTGGATGCACGTGTTCTTGCATCTACTGCCAGACATGGTAGTGAAGTAAAGGCATGCCCCTATTTCCTTTTTCCCCTATCTGTCTGTCTCGATAAAAGATGTTTAAAAAGTAACACAATGGAGTGTTAAGTAAATAATGTGACAGAACTTTTGAGCACATAAAGGTGTCATCAATTTGTTTCAACGTTATACAGAACCTGTGTTCATGTTTTGTGTTTTCTGTAGTTTAAGAATCTTTTTTTGATGTATTAGAACTGATTGAACTACCAAGGTGATATGTTCTTTTATTTTTTTTTTGTTCTTTTGTGCCCCTGACACCAACACATATATGAAACATGGCAACTACCCAAACTCAAGGAGCATAAAAGACATTTTTACCCTTATGTTTTGTCAAAAATAGGTTGATTCAATACAAGTATCTATGACCCTACACACTTCATCCTTGTGGTTTAATTATCTTGCATGCTGGTGTTTTATTTGTGTAGAAGACATTTTTACCCTTTTATTTTACTTTACACTTTTTTTTAATAATTTCTATATGATTAAATTAGAAATGGCCCCACCCCTTTCATACCCCGAATTGAATTTGTGGCTGGTAGCTTCCTACTTTCATAGAAAAACATAACGTGCTTTCTTATTTACTACACCCTCAAATAACGTTCGGGAAGAAAGATTACAAGTTTGGGTTTAGGTTCATTGTACATTCTTATAATTATATATTTTAATTTATTTTTCTAAGGATACGAGGTTGGTGGGATGCCTCACAGCAACAAAAAGGCTGCACTCTCTGATCTGGTGACCTTCCCACTTCGTTTGTATTTTCTTTAACTGATGTTTGTTTTTTTTTTAAAAATTATGGAGTGGTTATTTAAAACACTTAACGATGGTGAATATATAATTGCAGGGACAATAATCATTTCATCATATTTTGGTATTGCTTTATTCTGCATAAAAAATTGATTCTTTTCTGGAAATTTTTATAAGTTTGCTCTTAAATATGTCAAAAGTTGGATAAGATCTTAAAAAACTTTTTTTTTTAAATTCTTGTAGGTGTTGCAGAGGTGAAAAATTATTGATTTACCCTTTTCACATCTGGATAAGGACAACGGGCACGGAAAAAAGAGACTGCACTGGCCGGCACACCAATGAGAGGGCTACCAGAAAATGCTTACCATTAGCCAAGGAATTCTGCGTTTGAAAGTCTTTTTCTATACTATACTATTGTTTGCATAAAATATTAATAATATGGTTTGGTTTTGGTTTGATTTGATTTGGTGCAGGATGAAGACTGTTTTAGGCTAGGTGACATGAAAGGAAGCAAACTTGCTGGAAGTGTTTTAAATATCCTTTTCTTTCTCATTTAAATAAGGTATTAAATTTCTTCCCTCTCTCTCTCTCTTTTTATTTTTTATTATTTTACCACCATTATTATTATTTCTTTAAAACATGTGTTGGATCTTATTCATGTTTTTGGATGAAAGGTTGATGAAATTGAATTCTTTAATTCAAGGTTGTGGGTGTGGGTGATAGAAGAACAAGGTTGTAAAGTTTTTGCATAAAGCATTCAATTCTTTATATCTCATCTCTAATACGTGTCACTAACATTGACTTTATAAGCGATTGATTCCCTTTGGAAAACAAGGTTTCTTATATATATTTTTAAGTTATCTACAATTACAATTTATCTTTGAGGGACTAAAATCGTTACTTTTCATATTTTTAGGGTTTTAACTTGACAAAGAAGAGTTTATGGAGGTCAAAACCGGTATGGCAAGCGATTGCAGCCGATAGAAACCCTTCAGCTGCAAGGTTTATGTCAAATCAACCAGGTATGGGTTTGCAACTTGCACAACTTGGTCGAGATGCATCTGCAACAGTATGTGATTTATTATTTATATAAAAGCTGTTAAATCATACATACTTATAAAGCTAGCATTTTTTCTTGAATCTCATGCATTTGAAACCCCCTTTTTTAACTTCCTTTCACCACATTCATTTGAAACTCCCATAACTTTTCAATTTCTTTACAATAATATTATAAATAAGTTAAATAATGTTCTATAAACAAGAAAGGGTGTTTTATTACAATGTCTTCATCCAACATCGATGGTGAGAGTAAACAAGAGAATGTTTCCTCTTCTATAAATAGGAAAGGTTGTGAAATGTTTCAAAGGGACCAAACCATGAGAACTTCCTCATGCCTACCTTTGTAGGATTTTGAAGGTATTATTTGGTGATATTGTCTATATTGGCAAGTGTCCAGTTAACTTTTAGAATTCCAAAAATGGTTTTGAACCGAATTTTTTCAGGTTTAAACCGTGTTTCAGTTAGAAAAAAAATTATGTAGTTGAGTATATTGAGTTGAACCGGAGCTGGATCAATTTAGACCGATAAAGGAATCATTTTCCTTTCACAACAAACATTTGAAACTCCCATGATTTTTCAAATTATTTCTAATAATATTATAAATAAGTTACATAATTTTATATAAATATAAAAAAGCATCTACCTAAACCTAAAATTATAACTGTTTGAAAAATCACTTTGATTCAAAACCACAAAATATATACAAACCGGGTTTCACTAGAAAAAAAAATATGTAGTTTGGTATATTTAGTTGAATCGGTCCGAGTTTGATCTATTTGGACCATAAAAGAAGCATTTTCCTTTCACTACATACATTTGAAACTCCTATGATTTTTCAAATTGTTTCCAATGATATTTTAAAAAGTTACATAATGTTATATAAATATAAAAAAACATCTACTTAAACATAAAATTATAATTGTTTGAAAATTCGATTTGATCAAAAGCACGAAATATATACGCAGATTATATTTTATAAATGAATTCTTTTTATAATGAACTTTTGAATCTTGAAAATACATATAAACAAACTTTCTATATTAAGTACCTAACTGAATTTATGATTTTAGAATTAAACAAAAAGTTATTCAATAAAAACTTACTTTTTTAGATAGCAACTTACCAGATTATAGAAAAATGGAACTATTGAACAATAAAGAAAGGGTAAACAAGAGAAATGGTGTTTTACTAAATAAGTTGAATAATGTTTTATTAACAAGAAAACGTGTTTTATTACAATGTCTTCATCCCACATCGATGGTGAGAGTAAAAAAGAGAACGTTTCCTCTTCTATAAATATGAAAGGTTGTGAAATGTTTCAAAGGGGCCAAACCATGAGAACTTCCTTATGCCTACCTTTTTAGGATGTTGAGGGTATTCTTTGGTGAGATTGTCTTTATTGGCAACTGTCCATTTAAGTTTTAGAATCCTGAAAATGGTTTTGAACAAGATTTTTTTAGGTTCAAACAGAGTTTCAGTTGAAAAACCGTTATATAGTTTGGTATATTGAGTTGAATCGGTCTGAGTTTGATCAATTTGGACCGATAAAGGAAGCATTTTCCTTTCAGCACATACATTTGAAACTCCCATGATTTTTCAAATTGTTTCTAATAATATTATAAATAAGTTACCTAAACATAAAATTATAATTGTTTGAAAAATAAATTTGATTCAAAAACACAAAATATATACAAACCGGGTTTCAATAGAAAAAACGTTATGTAGTTTGGTATATTAAGCTGAATCGGTCAGAGTTTGATCAATTTGGACCGATAAATGAAACATTTTCCTTTCACCACATACATTTGAAACTCCCATGATTATTCAAATTGTTTATAATAATATTATAAGTTACATAATGTTATATAAATATAAAAAAATCTACCTAAACATAAAATTATAATTGTTTGAAAAATCACTTTGATTCAAAAGCACGAAGTATATACTCGATTATATTTTATAAATGAATTTATTTTATAATGACATTTTGAATCATGAAAATACATATAAACAAACTTTCTATATTAAGTACCTAACTGAATTTATGATTTTAGGATTTAACAAAAAGTTATTCAATAAAAACTTAATTTTTTATAGCAACTTACGAGATTACTGAAAAATGGAACTATTGAACAATAAATTTTCTGGATAACGTTTTATTTTTATTATTTAATATTTTATTTAACAAAATGAAATTATTGGCAAATAAAGAAATGAGTTTAATAAAATGTCTTCATCTCACATTGATCGTGAGAGTAAACAAGAGAATGTATTCTCCTCTATAAATAGGAAACGTTGTGAAATATTTCAAAGGGACTAAGCCATGAGATCTTCCTTGCATCGAACTTTGTAGGACGTTGAGTGTATTCTTTGGTGAGATTGTCTTTGTCGACAAGTGACCAATTAAATTTCAGAATTTCGAAAATGATTTTGGACCGTATCTTTTAGATTTGGATCGAGTTTAATAAGGATCCGAGTGTCTTCTGGCTGAGTTAGGCAAACTCGCTTCCATTGGAGGCCAAGTTTAAGTAACATGCCGAGTATTTGGTTGTGTTAGCCAAGTTTTACAACCCTGTATGTAATACAATTTAAAGTTTTAACTTTATAAAAGACGTCACTATTATCATATGTTCTACATAATTATGGTAATATTTATGATACAAAACATTTTTTTTACTATTTAAGATAAAAAGTTGTCTCTATTATCATATGTTGTACAGAATGATAAATTTTAAGATAGATAAAAAGATGTCTCTATTATTGTATTTTCTACATAATGATAATATTTAATATAAATGTTTTAATTTAATATGAAATTATTATTTAATAGATAACAATAACGATTTATTTATTTTTAAAAATTAATTTTTTTTCTATTTTAATCATATAACTTTACATATGCAAAATAACTTCAAGTTCCAACCTTATCTCTTATAATATAGTTCAACATAATAACAATACTAAAAATCATTTTTTATATTTTTTATGAAATTATTATTTAATTGTTAATAACAATGATTTAGTTATTTTTAATATAAAATATTTTTTTATATCCCATGCAACGCGCGGGCATTCGCCTAGTTTTTATAAAAGTTTGCATCTTTTTCATAATTTGATTGGTTTGTTGTGGTTATATGTTGAAGGTTGCAGCAAGAAGATTAAACTCACAAAAGAAGAAGAAGAGCTTGGAGGTTGTTAAATCAGTTGGTGTATCAGGGAAGGTTAACCCCAATAAAACAGTCAAATACTTCAGGCTAGAGGTAGGGTTTTAAAATATCAATTATCATATATTGAATAATGGATTTCAATCATAGTTTCTACCATTATTTATGGAGATAAAAGCATTTTATAATTAATCATGCAGTTTCAAGACGCTCCCCAAGAAGAAACAGATGAAATTCTTTATTTCAGAGCCCTTTTGAGTGGATTTGTAAGCTCCCTCAACTAATTTCAACACTAAAAAACCAAAAACTTTTTTTTTTATATATATTATAAAATTTGTGGAAGTACATACCCTAAATCTGATTAATTGATTTGAAACTTAACAGGTTACTCTCATATCTGTATCTCATATGATTGAGGCAGATATTGAAAGGGCTGCATCACTTCAAACCGATAACTGAGGTGGAGTGGAGTAATTAATTATTAATGTAGGTTGTATATATTCAGTTGATGAATTGATTTTATTGCGGAGTAGTAGGTTTTGTTCATGCTTCATTGTTCTGAATATTGAATATTATTTATGAATTATGTCTGAATGGGTTGTTTGTGATTTTGCAGGTTTCTTTTGAACAAAATAATAGATGGTTTCTTATATGTGGATCGATTGGATGTGTATAGAAAGGAAAACAATAGTGGTTTGATACGATCATCTTTTGCTAATCTACTCCTTACTATGTAACTGATATCAACGTCCCTTTCATATATGTAATATCTTTTCATAAATATTATAATATGGTTGTTTATCTACTACAGTTTCAAATAACGAAAGAAAACAAGGTAAACAGTGCCAACGGCGCATCTAATTCCATCTAGTTATCATTAAGACATGTAAAATGACGTTTATATTCTTTTTTTAATTTGTTTTACCTTTTTAACCAACTTTAATTAACAAAAAATAAAATAAAAAAGAGAGTAGCTCTCTCTCTCTCTCTCTCTCTCTCTCTCATATTTGTGAACTATGATTACATTTTAAAGTCCTCCCAATTTTTTATTACCTCTTACATATAATTTTAAACGATTGTTTACCTTGTAAATAGATTTTGGGTTCTTTTTGCTTCTAAACTTTTGGGTTTTATTTCTTCATATTATGGTCATATAATATTCTAAATTTCAAATTAAAATTTTCATATTTATTTTTAAAAGTAAACATTCTAATTTCATTCCCAAAAGATAGATAAATAACAATTTGTTCAAGTTTAACAACTATCATCAGAATCATAGTAATAAAAGATAGTGAAATCAAATGTGCGGAAGTTTCCCAAATATATCCATGGATGTAATGCAATAAAGTCATGCCCTTTCCCTTGCTGCCAAAACAACCTATAACATTTAAACTTAAACCAATAAATACAAACCTTAGCAAGTTCCCCAAAATAACACATACCCATGTGAACGCTTTGATCCCACCATAGTCTTACAATCACTTCCGTTGCTACAGACTCACTAAAATCTTTCCTGCTACGATCCACTACTAGAAAACAGGCCTTTAATGACACACGAACTATAACAGGCACTGAATATATGATATGCAAAAATGAATGTCTTAAAAAATTGTCATCTCATATAAAACTTGAAGGATTTAGGACACCTATTTCTGTGTGTCCTAAAACTAGCTGTTGTTTTATATTTTTTTAGGTAATACGCTCATTAGTAGCTAGAGGGAAAAGAAAATCCCCAAAAATTAGAAAACCGCCACCTAGATTGCTTCTCCGCCACCGCCGTTTCCTTTTATCTTTGTCATCATAAAAATCGTCTCTCTTCTCTCCCCTCTTGTCTCTCTATTTTGTTCTTGCATATTTCCCCTTCCATCCAAGCCTTCGTCTCCACCCCTCACCCACCTCGACTGCCACTAACCCTCACCGTATCTTCTGGTCTCTCTCTCCCTCTACCAGGTATGTATCTTTTCTCTCAATCTCGGTTCTATCTTTTACAAAAGCAACCAAGCACAAGAAAGATACAATGCCTTTTTATCCTCTCTTCCATTCTCTAGGTTCTCTTTTCCACCTCGTCTCCATAATTCTACCTCTTTATTATCTACATATCAAAAACCTAAATGTTTTTCGTTGTGTAAGTGTTTGTTTACAAGTCTTAAATAAATTGTGCCCTTATAGCCTTTCTCATCTTTAACAAATACACCACTTCAGCCTTCATCGACTTCATCATATGCATCCTATTTCTCATTCTTTTCCTGCAATTTCAACAACATCATGTATCAATTTATCTTTCTTCTGGTATGCTCTTCTTTTTCCTAGTTTTTCTGACCATGGTGTGTTTCATCGACTATTAAAAGCCATTTGTAATATTTTACTATTTATGCTAGCTAATGGAGTGTGCGGAAGGGAGTACTTAGTTAAAAAAACAAAGTATTATCTTATTGATTTGTGGTTAATGGTGTTGAGCTTTCAGCAATTTATGGCCTTCTATTTATTAATCTTTTATAAGTTTGATTGTTGTTTTCTCCCCATTTTATGACCCTTTTACATTTACATTCCATGAAAAATCTAACATCTGAATCCTCGTAGAGTTTTTTTGATTTTTTACCATAGATTCATTTAATTCCCCCTATTTAAACTTATTCCATATTTATAACAACAAATGATTTGATTAAGAGATTATACAAGGAAATGCAAAAAGAAATCATGGCAAGGAGGTTAAGCAATAATCTAATGAATGGTGCCATCTATATAGTTGTTATGAGCATCAAAAGAAGACAACCCTCATGGTTAAGTTGATGGTCTTCATTACTTTAAATATATTATCATGGAGGATAACCCAGTACATCAGTTACCCTAATTGCCCACTTTTGTCAACTTATTGTTGTCTTTTTTTTTGTTTCTTTTGACCATGTTTCTAATACTTGTATTCTATGTGTTACAGTCACAAATTTGTAGCTGAGAAGTGTAGATTTTTGAAATCTTTAGATTTATAGGTAGATGTTTCTTTTCACTGTTTTCAAAGTGGAGTATATGTAACGCCCCGATTCTCAGGTATTGATAGTATAACTTTAAATTTCAAGTTTCAAGGTCTACTCGACGAGTGGGTGCCCTGACTCGTCGAGTAGGAACGAGATTGGACCACGTACTTAAGTGACAAACTCGCCGAGTCGGAAGAGTGACTCGACGAGTTGGAGCTGGAGGGTGAAACCCTAATCCCCGGGGTTTTACACCCTATTTAAAGGATCCTTTGCCCCCTTAGCCTTCCCTTACAGCCCCTGTGAGTCCAGAAACCCTAAATCTCCATTTTCTCTCCATACCTCAGTTTATCATCATTTGAAGGTATCAAGTCATCACCTTGAGCTTCTTCTAGCTAGATCCCTTTTATATTTGAGTTTTGGGACCATTTTGGGCATTTGGTGTTACATTTCGAGTGATGAACCAAGATCTGAAGTTGCAGCTTCAGATCTAGGCTCATCTTGGCTCTTATCATCATAAAGTCTCAGTCTTTAGCATGTTGGTGAAGCTCTTTTGCCTAGAACCTTTTCTTTAGCTTGATTTAAGTCATTAGCACCTTGCATGCACGTAAAGTTTGCAAATTTACGTGATAAACATGCCCTAGGAGCTTGGATCTGCAGTATGGAGCCTTAGCAGGGCTTAAAAAGCATCTGTATGGATGAAAGACTGAAGGGACTCAGCGAGTCGTATGAACGACTCGGCGAGTCCGATGAAGATTGCCTTAGGCTCAGCGTGTCAGACGAGTGACTCGGCGAGTTGGCAAGTTATGCAAGGAACTCGGCGAGTAGATAAGGGTACGCGACGAGTTGAGGTCAACATAGACTGTTGACCGTGACAGTTGACTTTGACTTTGACCAAGGGTTGACCAGTTGACTTCTGAGGGTATTTTGGTAAATTGAATATTTATAGCAAAGGACATTGGTGAATATAGGTGTTGGAGTTGGAGCTACATCTGGAGGAGTTTGACACTACCTTCCGAGCTACTTGCGAGGTGAGTTATCCTCACTATACTCAAGGGTCTAAGGCACCAAGGCTGGCCCTTTGGATTGTTATCTGGTTATGTTATGCTAGTATGATATGTTACACCGGTATCCTAGAGGGTAGGATAATATTATATGGTATGTGGTAAGACCTGTTAGACCGGTATCCTAGAGGGTAGGATAATATTATATGATATGTGGTATGATCTGTTAGATCGGCATCCTGGTAGATAGGATGGTGTCATGTGATATGTGGTATGATCCATTAGATCAAGTATTGTATATAGACTGTTATGTGATTATCTGTTATATGTGCACATGTTCGTTTAGCGGTTGAGGTTTATCTGCTTTGTGCGGAGGCCAATAGACCTGGGCATTCCAACTTGTAGGTTGTGGGCCGTGAGTATTCCATCCCGAGGATGATTGGACTCGTAGTATGTGGGCATTCCAACCTGTTAGTTGTGGGCCTGGGGTATTCCATCCCGAGGATGATTGGACCCATAGTATGTCGGTATTCCAACCAGATGGTTGAGGGCCTGGGGTATTCCAACCCCGATGGTTGACTGGACCCATAGTATGTTGTTTATGATTATATGTGTATTGTTATGGTATGGGTATTTTGGGGGAACTCACTAAGCTTTCGGGCTTACAGTTTCAGTTTATTGTTTCAGGTACATCAGGGGATCACGACAAGGCGAAGGCGTGATCGTACAGCTCCTCACTTTTTATGACTTTGTTTCTGGGATACTATGATATGATACATTTTGAAAACAAGTTTTGTAATGGTTAATGGTCTTGGAAATGTTTTAAAAGTTTTAAATTGGCTTGAATTTTATGGGTGTTATAGTATAAATCACTTTGGTTGAGTTTTTTACTATCTACACCTAGTTTATAGTCTAAATTTGAGGCCTTAGAAGTATGTATTTTTGTAATGAGGATTTGTGTTAAATGATTGGCTTGATAAAACTCTATACAACACTTGTTCCCTAAAAATGTACTACATATAGGGCAACAATACGTGGTGCTGCACTAGGTGAATAGAAGAAAAAAGAGAATACTGTGATCTATATTTGTAAAGCTAAAATTTATAACATTTTTTGTGTTTTTTTCTTTTTCCCTTACAAAATAAGTTTTTCATTTCAGGCCTCTCAAATGATGGCATCATACATAATCGCTTCTTGGAAGCTATATACAGACATATACTGCGTGTACATAAAGAGGAAAAGTGATTTAGGGTTATTATTCTCATACCACTCTTACCAGGATTCTAGGTTAAAAAACCCTCCATAGTCTTCAATAAGAGAGTAAATGAAAAAACAATTAGTAATGTGTAACGTCCCATTTTCACAAATAAAATTTTCATTTTTAATTAAGGTAAAACACCATTTTCATAAAAACCCAAGTTAGGAAACTCATTTGTTCCAAAATAGAATTGTTTGAAAATCAGAGTAGTATAGTAAATGCGGAATCTCCAATGATGCTGATGATTGTGTAAAGTCACGCCTTCACCTTCCCACGATTACAAATGGTACATGAAAACATCTAATCCACAATTGTAAGCCAAAGCTTAATGAGTTCCCCCAAAATACTGATGGTAATTATGCAAAACACATAATCTTATGTGTGCATGCAACCCTAAATAATTTTGATTTATGTTTTCACTATTTGAACATAAAATATGCACAACAATGTAGAAACCCTAAAACACTAGTATATAATCAAAAAACACAATTAGGGCTATTATTAAAAAATACCTTGATTGTTA